CTCACTCTCTCACTCTCTCACTCTCACTCTCACCCTCACTCTCACTCTCACTCGCACTCGCACTCTCACTCTCACTTTCACTCACGCTCACTCACGCTCACTCACTCTCACTCACTCTCACTCACCCTCACTCACTCTCTCTCACTCTCACTCACTCTCACTCACTCTCACTCACTCTCACTCACTCTCACTCACTCTCACTCACTCTCACTCACTCTCACTCCCTCTCACTCACTCTCACTCACTCTCACTCACTCTCACTCACTCTCACTCACTCTCACTCACTCTCACTCACTCTCACTCACTCTCACTCACTCTCACTCACTCTCACTCACTCACTCACTCACTCACTCACTCAGTCAGGCTCCGCTGCTTTTGCGTGGCAGGCGTGGGACAATGTGCACTGCGAAGGGGTCGGATGTACGCCCTGGCGTCCCTCGGGCTCCTCGTCTTTTGCGTGGCAGGCGTGGGACAATGTGCACTGCCAAGGGGTCGGATGTACCTCCGCGTCTTTTGCGTGGCAGGCGTGGGACAATGTGCACTGCCAAGGGGTTGGATGTACGCCCTGGCGTCCCTCGGGCTCCGCGTCTTTTGCGTGGCAGGCATGGGACAATGTGCACTGCCAAGGGATCGGATGTACGCCCTGGCGTCCCTCGGGCTCCGCCTCTTTTGCGTGGCAGGCGTGGGAGGCGTGGGACAATGTGCACTGCCATGGGGTCGGATGTACGCCCTGGCGTCCCTCGGGCTCCGCCTCTTTTGCGTGGCAGGCGTGGGACAATGTTGGGATCCGCTGCTTTTGCGTGGCAGGCGTGGGACAATGTGCACTGCCAAGGGCTCGGATGTACGCCCTGGCGCCCCTCGGGCTCCGCCTCATTTGCGTGGCAGGCGTGGGACAATGTGCACTGCCAAGGGCTCGGATGTACGCCCTGGCGTCCCTCGGGCTCCGCGTCTTTTGCGTGGCAGGCGTGGGACAACTCACTCACTCGCTCACTCACTCACTCACTCACTCATTCACTCACTCGCTCGCTCGCTCGCTCACTCACTCACTCACTCACTCACTGACTGTACTTGAACCTACATACACAGACACACAAACTCACCCACCATCACCGCTCCATCACTCTTATACTTCCTCTTGCCTTCTTGCTTTTCTATGCTCAGTGTAAGTCTAAAGAAGTTGGTAACATGTGGGGTTATCCGGTCCTTTAATTTAAGTTATGCTGCGCCCCTCGGTATTTTTTGCCGATTTTTATGTGAAAGCGAGCTCCCGCCACGCCTGGTGCAATTTTGCCGACCTTATCTTCCATAAGTGCTCCTTTTGAAGTGCAAATCGAGCTCTCGCTACAGTCTGTTTCACATTTTGCCGACCTTATCTCTTAAAAGTGCTCCGAACGTGACAGTTTTTTAAGCTCTCGCTGCAGTCCTCCTTTTTGTCGACAATTTTTGCAGATCGAGCCCCCAAACCGCAGAAACAGAGACTCTCCTCCCGCGACCCCGAATAGCAACTTTACCCCAAAAAACACAGGGTTTCGCGCCCGTGAGTATATAATGTTTTCACCCATGAATTCTTGCGGTCCAGACACGGTACACTTCCCAACTACTTGATGATGCGCTGAAATGGTGATGCGGCTGGCATGATGGTGGAAATGCTGACCCTGACGATCGTCCGTAACTCGGGAATTTTCTATACCCATGACTCAAAGGTGCATTAAGTCGAATTTCAAACGAACAGACAGAGAGAAAGAGAGAGAGAGATAATATATATATATATTTCTATATATATTTATATATATAGATATGTATATATAGATATGTATATGTAGATATGTAGATATGTAGATATGTAGATATGTAGATATGTAGATATGTAGATATGTAGATATGTATGTATATGTAGATATATATTTATGTAGGTATGTATTTTTGCATTTTTGCATACATGTATATATGTATATATGTAGATATGTAAGTAGTTATACATGTATATATAAATATATATATGTAGATATGTAGATATGTAGATATGTATCTACAAATGTGTATACATGTATTTATGTATATAGGTATATATGTATAAATGAAAATATGTATAAATGTAGGTTTGTAGATATGTAGATATGTATGTATGTATGTATGTATGTATGTATGTATGTATGTATGTATGTATGTATGTATGTATGTATGTATGTATGTATGTATGTATGTATATATGTAGATTTGTAGATATGCAGAAATGTATCTACAAATGTGTATATATGTATTTATGTATATAGGTATATATGTAGATAGGTATATAGGTAAATATGTAGATATGTATATATGCAGATATGCATACATGTAGATTTGTAGATATGTATCTACAAATGTGTGTATGTGTATTTTTGTAAATAGGTATATATATATATATATGTATATTTCTAGATTTGTAGATATGTAGATATGTAGATATTGAAATATGTAGCTACACATGTGTATATATGTATTTATGTATATAGTTATATATGTATAATGAAAATGTGTATAAATGTAGGTTTGTAGATATGTAGATATGTAGATATGTAGATATGTATATATATATATATGCGTGTATTAACCAGGTTCAGAGGGATTTTTTCAAACCGTTCTTAAGCCTTCAAGGTGGCCACGCAGACCTTCAGACGCCCCAGGATCAACTTCAGAAACTGATGGAGGCTCGAGGATTTACGAAGCTGTCACAGCAAAAGCTGCCGCTTGTGATCCGAGAACATCAGAGGAAGTACCAGTACATCGTCACTCGATGGAAAGTCTACAGATTGAAAGGGAAGTGACATGAGACCGAACATGCCCACTCTTGCTTGGCAATTTTCATATGTTTTGGAAACAAATTTCGATATTATAATATATATTTTTTTTCTAGATATTGCTCCTGGGTGTATTTTCCTTAAGCGCTTGTCGGAGATTCGCAGTGCGGTTTGTGGGTGTAGGTTTCAAGGCTGCTGACTCACAAAAACACACTCTCAGCAGTTAAGTTTCGTAGAGTTAAAAGTCACACTGTCAGATTCTCGCCCATTGTCTCATTGGAAAGAGGACAGCCGGTCCCTCCAAGACAAAAAAATGTTTATGTTTATCACTTTATGTTGTCTTATGATCGAAAACAGTACAGTGATACTTCTGTTTGATTTATCTTACAGTATGTAAGTCCTGCCTTGGTTTCATTTTCCACTGAGGTGCCCGAAGCAACAGTTTGGCGCCGATAGTGGCCGGCAGTGTCAAATGTGTATGAGTCATGCATTTGAGCCACGCTGAAAGGGCATTGAAAGATCTGTAATGTATTTGATGATTGTTGGTTCAAAGGACTTTGCGTTGTGGTTTATGTGTTGAAAAAAGGTTGGTTCATGATGGTTCACGGATTATCGTGTAGTTGGGATCAGAGGCCTTCACTTCGGGCCAAGAGCTGGAAACATGTGGTTTCTTTGGATGGCTCTGAGCATTTGCAGTCGTTGACGCAAATTGTACAGACATCATGGCAAAGAGTTGTGGAAGTGAGCAACGTAAAGATGATAAGACGATGATGTGTGTTTGAAGTTGTAAGGTTTCCTGAAAGATGGTAAGATGCGACACCTATTTTCACACATATTTGGATTTGGCATGATTCAACAGCTTGATGACCTTGTCAAACTTTGCCGCTTTTGCAAACCGCTTGAATCTCTCCCCAGAGTCAGAATTGCAGTTAGCTTGGTTGGAACGACGGGCAGCTGTGGTCCAGGCTTCCAAGGTACATTGAAGATTTTGGACCTTAGGAAGCCTCAAATTCGAACGGTCGACATCTCCAAGGTCTCCAAATTTGGGAGTCTTCTGAGTTGGAGACGTTCTCCGACACAGCGAGCTTGGTTTCCGCGACGGGCAGCTGTGCGCAACTCCCTGCTTTGCAGCTAGCTTGGTTGGCACGACGGGCGGCTGCTTTGCGAATGCCATGAATGACACTTCTTTAGAAAAATCGACTGTTGAAACAGTTTCAACACATCTTCTCTCTTTTGCATGATGGCATTCGCGTCAAATGTGAGATTGATTTTGGGCATCGGGTGACAGATTGAAAGCTGAGACTTCGCCCTCGACAGCAGTTTTTTGCCTGAGTCTTCATTGTGTTATGTCATCCCTGGCCATAGCGAGACGACGAGTCCGCCCCACAACTAGCTTGGTTTTGCGACGGGCAGTTGTGTCCGAGTTTCACCACCAGACAAGTGCATACAATGTCATACAATGTCAACAGAAGGGCAGAATATGCTTGAATAAGAACGATGGCATACAAAGTGATGTGGAGCCAAACAACCTCTCTCTCTCTATATATAGTGACGGACAATCACTTAGAACGTATTTTGGAAAAAAAATTCTGAATATTACTGCTTTTTTTACGTTCTAAGCCTTGCACTTAGAACGTCGAAAACCATACACTTAGAACGTCCAAATATCAAGATTCATCACTTAGAACGTACCGGGGATTTAACACTTAGAACGTGTCTAGGTCACTGATGATAGTGGAAAGGCTTGTGAAATCTTTTATCTCTAAGTGTTGGATTCAGCAGCTAATTCCGTAGGAAACATAGACATAATTTCGTACCATTTGGCTTTTCCCTCCCATATGATGTGCAAATATTGGCGATCTTTTATCTCTGGAACACTATACCTTTTGGTGCTTTTTGGGGGTTCTGAGTTCTGATGTTCTAAGTGTTGGACTCAGCAGCTAATGCCGTAGGAAACATAGACATAATTTCGTACCATTTGGCTTTTCCCTCCTATATGATTTGCAAACATTGGCGATCTTTTATCTCTGGAACACTATACCTTTTGGATCCTTTTGTTGCTTTTTGGGGGTTCTGTCGTTCTAAGTGTTGGATTCAGGAACTAAGTCCGTAGGAAACATAGACATAATTTCGTGCCATTTGGCTTTTCCCTCCCATATGATTTGCAAATATTGGCGATCTTTTATTTCTGGAACACTATACCTTTTGGATCCTTTTGGTGCTTTTTGGGGGTTCGGACGTTCTAAGTGTTGGATTCAGCAGCTAATTCCGTAGGAAACATAGACATAATTTCGTACCATTTGGCTTTTCCCTCCCATATGATTTGCAAATATTGGCGATTTTTTATCTCTGAAACACTATACCTTTTGCATCCTTTTGTTGCTTTTTGGGGTTCTGACGTTCTAAGTGTAGGATTCAGCAGCTAATTCCGTAGGAAACATAGACATAATTTCGTACCATTTGGCTTTTCCCTCCCATATGATTTGCAAATATTGAATTGGCGATCTTTACCTCTTGAACACTATACCTTTTGCTGCTTTTTGGTGGTTCTGACGTTCTAAGTGTTGGATTCAGCAGCTAATTCCGTAGGAAACATAGACATAATTTCGTACCATTTGGCTTTTCCCTCCTATATGATTTGCAAACATTGGCGATCTTTTATCTCTGAAACACTATACCTTTTGGTGCTTTTGGGGGTTCTGACGTTCTAAGTGTTGGATTCAGCAGCTAATTCCGTAGGAAACATAGACATAATTTCGTACCATTTGGCTTTTCCCTCCCATATGATTTGCCAATCTTGGCGGTCTTTAGCTCTTGGAACACTCTACCTTTTGGTGCTTCTTGGGGTTCTGACGTTCTAAGTGGTGGATCCAGCAGCTAATTCCGTAGGAAACATAGACATAATTTCGTACCATTTAGCTTTTCCCTCCTATATGATTTGACATTGGCGATCTTTTATCTCTGGAACACTATACCTTTTGGATCCTTTTGGTGCTTTTTGGGGGTTCTGACGTTCTAAGTGTTGGATTCAGCAGCTAATTCCGTAGGAAACATAGACATAATTTCGTACCATTTGGCTTTTCCCTCCCATATGATTTGCAAATATTGAATTGGCGATCTTTTATCTCTGGAACACTATACCTTTTGGATCCTTTTGGTTTTTTTTTGGGGGTTCTGACGTTCTAAGTGTTGGATTCAGCAGCTAATTCCGTAGGAAACATAGACATAATTTCGTACCATTTGGCTTTTCTGTCCCATATGTTTTGCAAATATTGGCGTTCTTTATCTCTTGAACACTATGCATTTTGGTGCTTTTTGGGGGTTCTGACGTTCTAAGCGTTGGATTCAGCAGCTAATTCCGTAGGAAACATAGACATAATTTCGTACCATTTGGCTTTTCCCTCCCATATGATTTGCAAATATTGGCGATCTTTTATCTCTGGAACACTCTACCTTTTGGATCCTTCTGGTGCTTTTTGGGGGTTCTGACGTTCTAAGTGTTGGATTCAGCAGCTAATTCCGTAGGAAACATAGACATAATTTCGTACCATTTGGCTTTTCCCTCCCATATGATTTGCAAATATTGAATTGGCGATCTTTACCTCTTGAACACTATACCTTTTGGTGCTTTTTGGTGGTTCTGACGTTCTAAGTGGTGGATTCAGCAGCTAATTCCGTAGGAAACATAGACATAATTTCGTACCATTTGGCTTTTCCCTCCCATATGATTTGCAAACATTGGCGATCTTTTATCTCTGAAACACTATACCTTTTGGTGCTTTTGGGGGTTCTGACGTTCTAAGTGTTGGATTCAGCAGCTAATTCCGTAGGAAGCATAGACATAATTTCGTACCATTTGGCTTTTCCCTCCCATATGATGTGCAAATATTGGCGATCTTTCATCTCTGGAACACTATACCTTTTGGTGCTTTTTGGGGGGTCTGACATTCTAAGCCGTAAGAAACATAGACATAATTTCGTACCATTTGGCTTTTCCCTCCCATATGATGTGCAAATATTGGCGATCTTTTATCTCTGGAACACTATACCTTTTGGATCCTTTTGGTGCTTTTTGGGGGTTCTGACGTTCTAAGTGTTGGATTCAGCAGCTAATTCCGTATAGGAAACATAGACATAATTTCGTACCATTTGGCTTTTCTCTCCCATATGATTTGCCAATCTTGGCGGTCTTTACTTCTGGAACACTATACTTTTGGGTGCTTTTTTTGCGGGTTCTGACGTTCTAAGTGTTGGATTCAGCAGCTAATTCCTTAGGAAACATAGGCATAATTTCGTACCATTTGGCTTTTCCCTCACAAATGATTTGCAAACATTGGCGATCTTTTATTTCTGGAACACTATACCTTTTGGTGCTTTTTGGGGGTTCTGACGTTCTAAGTGTTGGATTCGGCAGCTAATTCCGTAGGAAACATAGACATAATTTCGTACCATTTGGCTTTTCCCTCCCATATGATTTGCAAATCTTGGCGGTCTTTACCTCTGGAACACTATACCTTTTGGGGCTTTTTGGTGGTTCTGACGTTCTAAGTGTTGGATTCAGCAGCTAATTCCGTAGGAAACACAGACATAATTTCGTACCATTTGGCTTTTCCCTCCTATATGATTTGCAAACATTGGCGATCTTTTATCTCTGGAACACTCTACCTTTTGGATCCTTTTGGTGCTTTTTGGGGGTTCTGACGTTCTAAGTGTTGGATTCAGCAGCTAAGTCCGTAGGAAACATAGAGATAATTTTGTACCATTTGGCTTTTCCCTCCCATATGATTTGACATTGGCGATCTTTTATCTCTGGAACACTCTACCTTTTGGATCCTTTTGGTGCTTTTTGGGGGTTCTGACGTTCTAAGTGTTGGATTCAGCAGCTAATTCCGAGGAAACATAGACATAATTTCGTACCATTTGGCTTTTCCCTCCCATATGATTTGCAAATATTGGTGATGTTTTATTTCTGGAACACTATACCTTTTGGTGCTTTTTGGGGGTTCTGACGTTCTAAGTGTTGGATTCAGCAGCTAATTCCGTATAGGACACCTAGACATAATTTCGATTCCACTTCGTATTCCAATTTTCTGCAATATTTTAATTGCGTTATAAAAGGAAATTCAATTGATTTCGAAAGCCACAAAACTAGTTTTTTTTATTAAGGGTTTAAATTTATTATTAGGATCCGCTTCGAAATCCAATTTTTGGCAATATTTTAATTGTGTTATAAGGAAATTTACCTGATTTTGAAATCGAAAAAAACGGTTTTTCTTATTAAGGGTTTAAATTTATTATTTAGGTCCGCATCGAAATCCAATTTGTGGCAATATTTCAATTGCGCTATATAAGGAAATTTAATTGGTTTTGAATCGAAAAAAATAGTTTTGTTTTATTAAGGGTTTAAATTTATTAGGGTCCGCTTCGAACTCTAGTGTTTGGCAATAGTCTTATTGCGTTATAAAAGGAAATTTAATTGATTTTGAATCGAAAAAACTAGTCTTTTTATTAAGGGTTTAAATTTATTATTCGGATTCGCTTCGAAATCCAATTTTTGGCAATATTTTAATTGCGTTATATAAGGAAATTTAATTGATTTTGAAGTCGAAAAAATAGCCGCTTTATTAAGGGTCTAAATTTATTATTAGGGTCCGCTTCGAAATCCAATTTTTGGCAATATGTTTAATTGCGCTATATAAGGAAATTTAATTGATTTTGAAATCGAAAAAATAGTTTATATAGCGACGGACAATCACTTAGCACGTTCTAAGTGTTGGTTTACGTTCTAAGTGATAAATGGGCCTAAGTGATATTTTGACGTTCTAAGTGATGAATTTTCCCTACGTTCTAAGTGATGAAATTTTGCTACGTTCTAAGTACGAAAAAAAAATGGAAAAAAATTTACGTTCTAAGTGATTGTCCGTCACTATATATATATATATCAAAAACATTGATGGCATCAACTTTCTAATGAACTTCACAGGCTAGGTTGTACCAGCACAATGATTCTCTGTGTGATACAATGTGTTAGTGGTTCTGATATTTGAACATGGTGGTTTCTAGGCTCTTGCTCAGTTCAGAACAATCGTGAATTTACATTTTCCATGCAAAGCGAACAGGTGTTACCAACAGCCAGGGTGGCTTGCAAATAGAAAAGCAACAAATTGATACAAATTGTATCAAGTCTAGCCGGACTTGACCATTGTCCAGATTGTAATTACTGTGGCCTCTTTTGTTTATAGTGATTCTTGTTGGACATTCCTGAGGAAAGGATGTATCCGTTTGTACCTTGTGCCATGATGATGTGTTCTGAACTGAAGACTTGCTTGTTGCGCCCTAGATGGAGATCAATGATGCGCAAAGAATCCCTGACGACATATCAGAGAAGACATCGCAAACCTGTTTGTTTCCCACTTGGATTTTTCCTACTTGAGAAATGCTTTCGTGCTGCATCTCACACCGTGCACTCAGCGCTGGAAGTCTTCAATCAAACATTAGTGCCATTCAAGCACGAACTAACCTTGGCCTCAGATTGCAAAAGCAATCAAAAGTAATCACTTCGTTGAGCTCCATCTCAACACGGTTGTATATTCACTCTGAATTCGTGGCATTGATGCCCAAACCTGGCGTTAAAATGCGTTAAACGTTATTTCTTCTGTCCAAAGATGTTTGACAAATTTCTTTGATCACGCACAGCCAGGTTCAATACCTCTGGAAATATCGTTCCTTTCGCTTTGAATCTGAAAGGGCCGGGCCATTGGAACCGCTGGTGACGGCAGCTATGGTTTGAAATGGTTTGAAATTGTTAAGACTGACAAGGCTATATTCGACAGTGTATATCAAGCTCATCAAAGCTCACAATTGTTGTGATCTTCATGATCTTCCCTTGTGCGGTCGTCCAAGACCCATTTTTTAGATCTTCGCTTCTGCATACAACTGGCCAAAGAAGTGCATGGATTGATCTTTCGTTCAGGGAAGGACTAAATAGACAAGACCAGATGTTTTTGAAAGTGACAAAGGTTTTCTTGGCGAACTGATGCCCAGTGTTGAAACGCTGTCACTACAGTAGACAGTTTGAGAAAGTTCTAGAAAGTGCTAAGGTAGTAGAAAAGACATGAAAATATTGAAAAGACAAGTACATCTCCTTGAACTCTTGGAGAATTTCGGACTTCGAAGCAGTGGCGTAGAGATGGTGGAACAAGCACAGTAGCTGCATGGAGAGTTGCTTGTTGTGACATGCCGTACTTTTGCCTTTGCATGCAGCAGAGCCCAAACGTTTGCTGGGGAGAAGGGGCAGTTCCTGCACTCAAAAAGCCAAAAAGCCAAATCATTTAGAAAAACTATGAAGAACTGGTAGGATATTCTGGACCTCTCTCGGTGTGGCAGGATGGCGCAAGAGTGGAACTTGTCACTGTAGCTCACTTGCTATACCATTTCTCTAGGGTCTGAGATGGCCCTTTAAAACTCTGAAAACTCAAGACGAAAGCATGCCAGGCAAAAAGGCGAGCTCTATGGGAATTGCTCTTTGTCCCTCATATGATCTCATGTGATATGTGCTGGTTCTTGTACCATCTTGTACCGATAGCAACATCAAACATGTTCCAACAAAAATACGTGGAGGTGCTTGCGCTGTTCTCGCATTCTTGCAGTGCCCTTGCAGTCAATCGTTTTCACTGGGATCAAGGATGTGTGTATTGTGTGCAATTCAGCATGGAACCTTGCTTTACAAAGCCAAACTTCTCCCAGGGAGAAGCTCGGCTCACCTGTGTGACTGTGGAGGTTGTGGAAGGTTCCGTGTGATTTCAGTTTCAAATTATCTTTTGATCCTGTGGAAAAGGACGAAAAGGATGGGCAGATTTTTAATGATGTTTGACTATTTTGTTAATGGTTTTATCATGTTTAATCAAGGATAAGGACAAGACTGGATAAGCAAGGTGAGTTTGAGCATGTTTGGGCATGTTCTCCATGTTCTTTTCGAGGCCAAGCTCGATGCCAAAGCAGATCTTTCGGAAGCCGCAAAGGCATGACCTGGCGGGGCACAGGGCACAGCACGGTGCATGCTGCTGTGATGCGTGTGCCGTGTAACGCAGGCCCGAGGCATTGACTTCTTCCTGGTTGCCTTCGTCGACCTGCGAGGTGAAATCCATGAGCCATGTCTAGCCGTCTAGCCGCTCCTGAGATATCCTTAAGATATCCTTGAGATATCCTGATATGTCGACCTGACACCTTGCCCATCCTTGCCCTTGTGACCTGGAGAGCCTCCGATCGCTCAGGTGTCTTGAGAACGAAGATGGTTCCAGCCAGCGCTATCAAGCAGATTCAACGTGATGGACTGGGGATGCCGGGAAACGCCAAGTGCATCATTGCGCAGCTCACAATGCTCACAATGCTAATATGTATTCATACTTGCTTTTGTGAGATCAGACAAGCACTTGACAGGAGCAGGATTTGCCCCAGCGGCAACGTGGTTGGATTTTGGACCTCACGCTGCAGATCTTTTGGTCATTCCGGATGCTAGCACTTTGCTTCAAGTGCCCTCAGAGACTGTTTTTGTTTGTTTTCTATGGAAAAACGCTAAATCCTTGGTACAATCGATCGAATCATACGATGCTTTGGCACTTGGCCTTGCATCTTGGAGAGGTACCTTTCAGCCCTGAGCTGGCCATTGTGATGGGAGATTGTTTCATTGAAGGCGTGGCTTTTGGGCTCATTTGCCATCCATCCACACAAAGATTTTGGCGTCAAAAAGTGAAAGAGAAAAGCGAGGTAACATAGGCATAGGCCTAGCATGGCTTAGCGATCCGAACAAATGAGTCTTCCAGGGAATGTCCATGAACAATTGTATAGAGCAAACATCTCATGTCAGCCCCATTGAAGCGGTGGCTTTCACAAGAATCCATGATGATCTATTTGGATCCAATTGGCTCCTCAAATGCAACCTCTATGATGGATCTTGGTGTCTCCATTCGTGTCCTACAGTATGTCATGTGGCAGCCATGTATGACCCTGCCAGGGAAGGAAGTGGCGCAGTCACCACGTGCAGTTCTCAAGGCGCAGGTAGCTGAAGCAAAGAAGCGTGGCTACGTCTTCAAATCCGGCGTAGAGGCACTTTTCATTTCACTTTTCTGACAAGTTGAGTGCATGACTCGAAACCAGAGTCGTGTCGTAAATGTGATCATTGTGATCCAGTGCAGCCTGGTGTACTCTAAGTAACGCTGAAAAAGTTCACCTCACCTCCTGCGCAACTCTGTGGGATGCCGTGAGGCAGAATTTTTTCTCTTGTCCGACAAGGATGCAATTTCTGATTCCAGGGACACACAGAGCAAGCCCTGCTGTGACTTGGCGTCAAAGAGCCGGGAAAAGTACCATGAAAAAACTTCATAAAAACTTCATAAACACTTCATGAGATAGGAACTTGAAAAAATCTTTCAATCCCTCCCGACTGGTGCTCTGTGTTGAAAGCAGTGAGGGTCTAGCAACATCAGTAAAAGCGATGAGAGGTAGAGATGTATCACATGCTAGCAAGATCCAGTAAGTTCCTTCAAATTCAACTATCTTGAACTACCTGTCACTGTTTTGAACTGTTTATCCAGTTTGACAACTCAGACGATGCACAGTCGATGATGAGAAGATATGCTCTCTTGGCCGACATCGCTGCAGCCTTATGTGCGATCAATGCTTGCATGACGATTTATATAACATGATTTAAATCTGTTGAGCCAAGTTGAAGCATGAGGTATGTGGAATATGGTTCTTGAAGATATGTCAGGCAATTCTGACAAAATCAGTCCATGACTGCCATAAGGTGAAGACGTTAAACGCGAGCGGTTTTGGCGTTTACCAAACAGACCATGAAGACGCCAATGGCCAGTTTGAGATCAACTGGCACTACCAGGACCACATGTGTCTTTGTGAAAATGAGAGACAGATTGCATGGGTCAGAATTTGATTCGAAGCTCCAACTCCAGAGCACAACACACCACAAAGTATGATCAAAATGACGAACATATACGAACATCAATTGGATCGTAAAGTCGTAAAGCCTCACATGTCACGAAAGGGGGCAGAGAAGTCCAGGGAGATGCGCAGCCAGGTCAGAGTTTGAAGCGTTGTGTCTGTGCGTTCTTTTTTCATGGCTTCAATTTGTGGGGCGTTGTTTTGTATGCATACGTATGCATCATAGCCCTCCGCATCCTCCTCTTTTTTTTTCCTCTTCCTTTTCTTCTTCCTCTTCCTCCGCATCCTCATGATGATGATGATGATGATGATGATGCTGATGCTGATGCTGATGCATCTAGTGTCAACCAATGAGCCGCTTGCAAGTCCCCAGTTGCCATGGCCTCTCTCCCTCTCTCTCTCTATCTCTCCCTTTCTCTCCAGTCCCTGCCTCCCATTTCTTTTGCATTCTAGGCTTCATCCCAATTATATACCTTTCGTTCTCCTCCCCTTCCTCTCAAGTGTGAGATCACATCGTGATGACAACGCATTGGAGGATTGTCTCACAACAGCAGATCAGCATGTATTCTTCAAATGGGCTGTCAAGACCTTGTCTGAGCGCCATGGCTTCCGCGCACCTTGGCAAAAGTCAAAAAGTACTCCCCAACACTTTGTTTTCCAGACTTTCAGTGAGGTGGAACATAGGAATTGTCATATAGTGAAAATCTGTTGAATCAACGACGAATGGTCGACTTGCATTTGTTTAAATAATTCTTGGATTTACGTGCAGTTGTTGCATGTTCGGCATTGCTTTTTGCCACCGAGGCCACGTTTATGCCCAGACCCTTCAGCAATCTGAGCGGCAACGGATGCCCGGGCCACACAAGTGATTCCACAAATTTCCACGATCGATGGCATGTTCTGTACCCATGGCGTTATTCCCCTCACATCAGAGATGTTGTACAGTCTCCAAAGATGGCGTACCGATGCCACACTAATCACTCCGTCGGCACATCTTGGTTCGATTGACGCCCTTTTGTTTTCGCTGTTGTTAATTCCCACTGTAAGGTCACATCCACTGTTCCCTCTGGGCGGGGGACAAGAACGTTTTTGAGGCGTTATCGCAGCGCTGGGCGCAGTCGATATGAGTTCAATCAACTGATAAATTCCTGCGAACGAAATAAATCAGTCGGTCAAGTAGTTCATTGTGAAATAAATCAGTTCATTGTTGCTATGTGCCAGGGTCAAAGCTTGTGTAATTCACCCATGTTGGGGGATGGTCATGAATCCATGTACTGTATGTTTTTTAATTGTAGAGCTTCGCACACCGGCGACGAGGGTTCTGTATAGCAGTGTGAGCGTTGGTGTTGTTCATGTGCTCTGCGCGTGCGCGCAGGTGCAGAGCACAGTGTGATGTTCTTTTCATATTGGCATGAAGGTCAATGATCTTTTGATCGTCCTCCATGTGTGTGTACCATCTGTATAGATATAAAACCTCAATTTATTGGAGGGGGGCAACAGCCCATCTTCCTATGTTGCCCAACGAAGCTACGGAAGATGTGGTGGATGGGTTTATAGACGCATGAACCTGTACCTGCATTATATATATAATATATATATAATATATATTATATATATAATATATATATATAATAATATATATATAATATAATATATATATAGTCCCGCCCCTGGGCGCATAAAAGTCGCAGCTGGGGGGACATATATTTTATCGCTGTTGTTTTTATACGGTCAATGTCTACTGTGATTATACGTCTATATACATATATATATATATTCTTATTGTTTTCCATTCTTCGTGTCAGTTTACTGTTGTTTTTTTGCACGTCTGTTGCGTTCCACATCAAAATTCGCAATGGCTGTTCTGAGCAAGTGTGTGATTCATGCTGGATTCGTCAAGGTGGCATGAACCCTTCGGGGAATGCTTTTCTAAGCAAAATGTGGATGTAACGACTCGATGTCTGAATTTACACTTTTGAATCAGTAATTCGTGTAAATATAATAGCGAAACAGTCGTTCAATTTCCAGCTTCTCACCGATCGGTCGAGTGAGTGTTGAAACAACTGGCCGCCGTGTGGCTTCAATTCTTCCAGATGATCCGCCTCACTGTCACTGTTAGTCTGCAGCCGTGACAACCTTTTCAATATTGCTCGAGCAATTCCAGCTGCCGACAATTGCAACATGAGGATTCCAGGCACAGGCCATGCTTGCAGGTATGGTGACTCTTATTTTTTGGTCGTTGGTGAGGTTCAATTGTGCACGTAATTCACTTGAACACTGACAGCCGTCTATGGGGTTGACGTGACATTTAGGCCTTTGAGCCTGCAACAAGGGGAAACTTGCACGATCGTGTGGATGTATCAGTTCATTAACTAGTCCCCCATGGGTCCCTTATTTCATGTGTTCTCTTCTCTACAGGTAGGTTGGGTCCTTCGCGTGCTGAGGTAGGTGTCGGTTTTCGCCGTGTTAGGTTGGTTCAGGCGCTTCCGTCTTCCCCCCCTCCGCTGGTCTTGTTCCGCTGTCCGTCGGCCTCCGCTTTTCTTTTCTTTCTCCTTGCCTTTTCACCGGGCCAGGTGTGTTGTGTTGGTGTTCTCTCTGTCCGTCTTCTTTTGCGTTCCCCTCTTCGCGTCCTGGTTAAGTAAATTTCATTTCATTTTCATTTTCATCTCACTTTCATTTTCATTTCATCTGCCCCGCTTCGGTGGGGCGTGTGTGTGTGTGTACCATCTGTATAGATGTAAAACCTCAATTTGTTGCAGGGGGGCAACAGCCCATCTTCCTATGTTGCCCAACGAAGCTACGGAAGATGTGGTGGATGGGTTCATGGACGCATGAACCTGTACCTGCATAATATAACTATATATATATATATAGTCCCGCCCCTGGGCGCATATAAGTCGCAGCTGGGGGGACATATATTTTATCGCTGTTGTTTCTATACGGTCAATGTCTACTGTGATTATACGTCTATATATACATATATATATATACTTATTGTTTTTCATTCTTCGTGTCAGTTTACTGTTGTTTTTTTTTGCACGTCTGTTGCGTTCCACATCAAAATTCGCAATGACTGTTCTGAGCAAGTGTGTGATTCATGCTGGATTCGTCAAGGTGGCATGAACCCTTCGGGGAATGCTTTTCTAAGCAAAATGTGGATGTAACGACTCGATGTCTGAATTTACACTTTTGAATCAGTAATTCGTGTAAATATAATAGCGAAACAGTCGTTCAATTTCCAGCTTCTCACCGATCGGTCGAGTGAGCGTTGAAACAACTGGCCGCCGTGTGTCTTCAATTCTTCCAGATGATCCGCCTCACTGTCACTGTTAGTCTGCAGCCGTGACAACCTTTTCAATATTGCTCGAGCAATTTCAGCTGCCGACAATTGCAACATGAGGATTCCAGGCACAGGCCATGCTTGCAGGTATGGTGACTCTTATTTTTTGGTCGTTGGTGAGGTTCAATTGTGCACGTAATTCACTTGAACACTGACAGCCGTCTATGGGGTTGACGTGACATTTAGGCCTTTGAGCCTGCGACAAGGGGAAATTTGCACGATCGTGTGGATGTATCAGTTCATTAACTAGTCCCCCATGGGTCCCTTATTTCATGTGTTCTCTTCTCTACAGGTAGGTTGGGTCCTTCGCAAGCTGAGGTAGGTGTAGGTTTTCGCCGTGTTAGGTTGGTTCAGGTGCTTCCGTTTTTCCCTCCCTCCGCTGGTCTTGTTCCGCTGTCCGTCGGCCTCCGCTTTTCTTTTCTTTCTCCTTGCCTTTCCACCGGGCCAGGTGTGTTGTGTTGGTGTTCTCTCTGTCCCTCTTCTTTTGCGTTCCCCTCTTCGCGTCCTGGTTAAGTAAATTTCATTTCATTTTCATTTTCATCTCACTTTCATTTTCATTTCATCTGCCCCGCTTCGGTGGGGCGTGTGTGTGTGTGTACCATCTGTATAGATGGAAAACCTCAATTTATTGCAGGGGGGCAACAGCCCATCTTCCTATGTTGCCCAACGAAGCTACGGAAGATGTGGTGGATGGGCTCATGGACGCATGAACCTGTACCTGCATAATATAACTATATATATATATATATAGTCCCGCCCCTGGGCGCATATAAGTCGCAGCTGGGGGGGACATATATTTTATCGCTGTTGTTTCTATACGGTCAATGTCTACTGTGATTATACGTCTATATATACATATATATATATTCTTATTGTTTTTCATTCTTCGTGTCAGTTTACTGTTGTTTTTTTTTGCACGTCTGTTGCATTCCACATCAAAATTCGCAATGACTGTTCTGAGCAAGTGTGTCATGTGGCCATGGATTGTTGCAACAACTTGTTGTCTTGACCATTGCCTGTGAACACTGGCTTGATGGGTGCCAACTATTCTCTGGTGTTCGATGATGTATTTCGATCCTGCCAACTTGTATCGACCGGAAGTGTCCCACTGTCAGACAAAGCGCTAATTATAACTTTTACTTGTTTGCCGAAACTCTCTTGCTTGCCTTTGTGCTTGAGCTGTTCTTGTTGTACAGCCTTTCAAGATGTGTAATTTTCGAAGCAGCTCTGACAACATGGCTGTTTCTGTATGCCATAGTCTTTTCACTCGGCAAGGGACAACCGCGCGACGTGCATACATATTGGGGGCCGGTCATCAGACCATGAATAGGGGTTCTGTTGCCTGTCAGACGGATTCCCATTACGGGATGCATGGCTATACCGCATTTACTGAGAATGACACATATGAGCTTCAATGAGCCTTAATATGCGTATTACTTGAGACACAGATAGAGATATATATATAAATACACACATATATATATACATACATAGATCATAGTTAATATATAATGATTTACTTTACATCATTTAATAATATATATATATAATCATATTTACTTTATATATTCATATAAATATAATCACATAATGCACATATAATATAATAGAATTTAAAACATGTAATATAATATCATGTAAGGAAATTTAATTTGATATAAGATGATATGATTTAATGTAATGTAATATGATATAATTTAATATAGTATAGTATAATTTAATATAACAAAATATAACATAACATACATATTTAGTATATATAAGATTTTCCACATCTATATATAGATATATATATATCTGTGTGTGTGCGTGCCCAAATCAAACCGCCGGATCATGACTTCACAGCTTTGGGGGAGATCTTGATTGTTTGGAACCAAAGAACTTGAAGTCTCGAAGAGAGCGGAGATTACTTTCAACGGTGTTCTGAGGTCGGCAAATCAAAGATTTGCCTGGATTGTTTGACAGCTCATTGCAAGTCTGACATGCTTCTGATAGTATGGCCTAGTGCACACTGACTACTCCGGCTATATCGTTGATCTACTCTTCATGCTGTCCAATGCGTGCTTTGCATAGGCCTCTGACACCATCTCTGATTTAGCGCTACAATTTCTGGGCGGCGTGCTGGCATCTGAGTTTCCAGCAGAACGACATAGCACGATTCATTTGATGATTTGATGTGATCAGTGACTGTTGCTTGGACAGTCTCCCTGTTCGAGCCGTCTCTTGCTAGAACAAGTGTAATGAGGCTTGCGAAAGCACCTAGCTATTGCGCAATAACGAATCCAACGGTGAACTCCTTCAAGCGGCTACTTGGTCTGGAGGAAGATAAACTGTTTTCGCAAAACAAACAAGAAGGACCAGATAGGACCGGATACAGATTCGAGTCACTCCGCGGCGAGTACCACCCGCATCCAGAGAACTGGATAGACAGGAAATCTGCAGGCTCATGGAGCCATGTGGAGAAATTGCAGGGATTGGAAGAGAAGCAGGGGCAGAGTGGAACACAAAAGAAGGGCAGCGTTCGTGGAGTATTTTAGTTAGGGAGGCGGGGTGACGAAAACGGGCCGACTTGGCCCAACCGAAGCCAAAACTTGGCCGTCCTTGGCTTAAGTTGAGCCGGAACGAGCCGATTTGGGGTGTTTTGAGGATTTCGTTTTGAGTCGGCCATGCCCCCATTTTGAAGCCATGTGGACTTCAACTTGTGGCGAAGTTGCTCTCGAAATGGGTCCAAGTTGGGGCCAAGTTTCGCCATGTTGGAGCCAAGTTGGGCCGAAGTTGGAGCCAAGTGGGCCCCAAGGTCCAAGGCCCATGTTGCGGCCATGTCGGATCGAAATAGTGCATTTGGCCGATGTTGGGCAGGATCTGTAAAACGTACAAATTTCCACAGTCCCGTACACTTTTTTTGGCGCCCTGGCCAGTGAACAGAGGATTGTTCGAACCGATCGGCTCCAACAGCAAAACAAACCAGAAAGAAGGGACAGATAGGACCAGACACCAAGGTTTTCTCTGTTTTTTTAGATTTAGCCTTTGTGTTGGAGCGCCCTAAGGCTAAACGGTGCCGCAACTGCTTCTGGTTACACCTGGTCTCCGAACCGACCCTTATCAAATGTCAGAGTGTGTTTGCCATCTTTTGCTATACCCGAAGCAGTACAGCGTTTGCACAGCGGCAATTTTTCTTGTTTGCTTTCTCTGGTTTCCCATTCTGTGTGGTGCTTGCTTAGGCGTGTCGTGGAGCGGCAACAATCGCAGGTCATGTTATTTGCGCAGCCAAAGATAACCAAAGCATTGAATTTGTCAAGAGGCCTTGGACAAACAATAATCAAGAGAATCCAGAATGCTGAATCTTGCCAAAACGGCCATAGAAAAAGAAATTTTGTAGGAAGATTCTTGAATTTCAAGCGGCCGTTGCCCAATCCCTTTCAAATTCAATGCCAAAAAAAACCGCTGGTAAGTGTGATGTGCCGATTTCGCTTTCTGGAGAGATCCTCGAGAGTCTGGCAAAATCACATTTTTCCGAGTCATTTCCAGCTCTTTTCCAGTCTCCAACTCTTGGTTTGCCTTGGTTTGCCTCAGTCACATGGTACGTGTTCCAGACAACGACCGCTTTGAGCTGCGATTGGCGGATGGAGCGGTGGGCTACTAAGTTACGAGCCGCACGAGCCGGAGATCTAAGGAATTGAGACAATGGTGGTTACCAAGTGCCATGCAAGCGCAGGCCATCCTTGATTGCATGATTTTGCATGTGTCATGGAAACGTTGGACACAGTGTTTAATGATTTTTAGCGGCTTTACATGGCTTTACATGCTGTTTCTGAGGTGAACCCATACTTGCTCCCAGCCGTGATGCTCGCTTGCGGTTTCTGGGGCATCGACACAAAGGCTAACCCGCACAAGTGCCTCTTCCCAGCAGACGTGAACATGTATGACCGGGCCTCAGAACCATCAGAAACCAGCAAATCAAACCGCCGGTGCTGCCAGTTTTCAGAGACAGCAGCATGTCATGTGATGATCCAGAAAGCAGTCTGCAAGTTTGATACAGGATTTCCGTGGTTCACTATGAAAAAAGAGATTTTCTTTTTTGTAGGATAGAGCGAGCAGTGCTGATAGTTGTCCACGTCAAGCTTAGGAAATTCCAGATGGCTCGCCGAAGCTCGAAGGTATCGCATCCCTGCCAAGGACGTGCACCGAGCTTACCCATCCACTCAACGCACTCGCATACGCATCGCACCAACATGTACCAACCCAGTAACGCAGAGATGAGAATTTGAACATCTCCCAACATTGTCAACCCATGTTCACCCAGTCCTTGCATCCGGCAACATTCGACAAAATTTACTCTTTCAAACCTGTTCAAACATTTAAAATATTACCATCACATGCTATCAAGACCTATCAAGTGCTCACTGGCAGGAACCTTTTGGACGCCACACGAGCTTTGGAAAGCGACGAGCACTTGACAGCTTTGCTCGGAGCAGTCCCTCGACTGACTTTTCCACTGCGGAACCAACCATGAATACGAACAAGTCAATGAATCGCTTATTCTTTTCTACAACTTGCAACTAGATACGGAGAATAGATACACTAGAATCAGATAGAATCGAGTATAGTATAGGGTATCAGATTGCGTGCTGCATCATGTGTGCACAATTGCGCCCAGGATTTTTTGAGAGCATTTGTGAAGCTGCAGAAGCTGGAATGGACTGAGTTTACCGCTCATCTCTCAAATTGGGAGGTCTCACAGACTCTTGATTGCTAAATTTTGACAGAAAAAATGAACGACTAAGTATGCCTGCAAAATCAATTTCAGATGTTGAATATACCCACGCGAGTTTCCTCTACAAAATCCCAACCGTTGAGGGCTGTACAAGAGGATTTTGCGTAAGAGCGTTTTCAGGGTATGTGGGCATGATCCTAAAGTTTGGGATTTTGTAGGCGGATACATTGGGGTAGCAGTGCAGTGTGCATTGGACCCATGTTTGTGATTTTGTACGCGTTTCAAAGGTACTTTTTCCCGAGAGCGTCTGAGCGCAGGGTTCTTCCAATAGTGGGGGTCTGTAAAACATCTTCTCATCTTCACATCTTCTCATCTTCACATCTTCTCATCTTCACATCTTCTTATCCTCACATCTTCTCCTCATCCCTCATCTTCTCATCTTCACATCTTCTCATCTTCACATCTTCTCATCTTCACACCTTGTCATCTTCACATCTTCTCATCTTCACATCTTCTCATCTTCACATCTTCTCATCCTCACATCTTCTCCTCATCTTCTCATCTTCACATCTTCTCATCTTCACATCTTCTCATCTTCACATCTTCTCATCTTCACATCTTCTCACATCTTCTCATCTTCACATCTTCTCACATCTTCTCACATCTTCTCACATCTTCTCACATCTTCTCACATCTTCTCACATCTTCTCACATCTTCTCACATCTTCTCACATCTTCTCACATCTTCTCACATCTTCTCACATCTTCTCATCTTCACATCTTCTCATCTCACATCTTCTCCTCTTGCCCTCTTGCCCTCTTGCCCTCTTGCCCTCTTGCCCTCTTGCCCTCTTGCCCTCTTGCCCTCTCCTTCTTTTCCATTTCTCTTTTGAAGGCGGGAGCAGGGGCAGTGCCAACGAGACGGCACGAAACGCAACCCTTTCGCACGAAATGAGGGTCGATCGTCAAAAACTGAAGTAAAATTGCGATTTTACTTGTCCTGGAGCAACCCTTTCGCACGAAATGAGGGTCGATCGTCAAAAACTGAGGAAAAATTGCGATTTTACTTGCCCCCGAGCAACCCTTTCGCACGAAATGAGGGTCGATCGTCAAAAACTGAGGAAAAATTGCGATTTTACTTGTCCCGGAGCAACCCTTTCGCACGAAATGAGGGTCGATCGTCAAAAACTGAAGAAAAATTGCGATTTTACTTGTCCCGGAGCAACCGTTTCGCACGAAATGAGGCTCGATCGTCAAAAACTGAAATAAAATTGCGATTTTACTTGTCCCGGAGCAACCCTTTCGCACGAAATGAGGGTCGATCGTCAAAAACTGAAATAAAATTGCGATTTTACTTGTCCTGGAGCAACCCTTTCGCACGAAATGAGGGTCGATCGTCAAAAACTGAGGAAAAATTGCAATTTTACTTGTCCTGGAGCAACCCTTTCGCACGAAATGAAGGTCGATCGGCAAAAACTGAGGAAAAATTGCGATTTTACTTGCCCCGGAGCAACCCTTTCGCACGAAATGAGGGTCGATCGTCAAAAACTGAGGTAAAATTGCGATTTTTCCTGTGCCGGACTTGTCTGTGTGTAAAAGCGTTTGTGTGTAAAAGCGTCTGTGTGTAAAAGCGTCTGTGTGTAAAAGACTGTGTGTGCAAAAGCGTTTGTGTGCAAAAGCGTGTGTGTGTAAAAGCGTCTGTGTGTAAAAGCTTCTGTGTGTAAAAGCCTCTGTGTGTAAAAGCGTCTGTGTGTAAAAGCGTCTGTGTGTAAAAGCCTCTGTGTGTAAAAGTGTTTGTGTGTCAAAGCGTCTGTGTGTAAAAGCGTCTGTGTGTAAAAGCGTCTGTGTGTAAAAGTGTTTGTGTAAAAGTGTTTGTGTGTAAAAGCGTCTGTGTGTAAAAGCTTCTGTGTGTAAAAGCGTCTGTGTGTGTAAAAGTCTCTGTGTGTAAAAGCGTCTGTGTGTAAAAGCGTCTGTGTGTAAAAGCGTCTGTGTGTAAAAGCGTCTGTGTGTAAAAGCTCTGTGTGTAAAAGTGTTTGTGTGTAAAAGTGTTTGTGTGTACAAGCTTCTGTGTGTAAAAGCGTCTGTGTGTAAAAGCGTCTGCGTGTAAAAGCGTCTGTGTGTAAAAGTCTCTGTGTAAAAGCGTCTGTGTGTAAAAGCGTCTGTGTGTAAAAGCTTCTGTGTGTAAAAGCGTCTGTGTGTAAAAGCGTCTGTGTGTAAAAGTGTTTGTGTAAAAGTGTTTGTGTGTAAAAGCGTCTGTGTGTAAAAGCTTCTGTGTGTAAAAGCCCCTGTGTGTAAAAAGCGTCTGTGTGTAAAAGCGTCTGTGTGTAAAAGCGTCTGTGTGTAAAAGTGTCTGTGTGTAAAAGCGTCTGTGTGTAAAAGCTTCTGTGTGTAAAAGCGCCTGTGTGTGTGTAAAAGTGTCTGTGTGTAAAAAGCGTCCGTGTGTAAAAGCGTCTGTGTGTAAAAGCGTCTGTGTGTAAAAGGGTCTGTGTGTAAATGTGTTTGTGTGTCAAAGCGTCTGTGTGTAAAAAGTGTCTGTGTGTAAAAAGCGTCTGTGTGTAAAAGCTTCTGTGTGTAAAAGCCCCTGTGTGTAAAAGGGTCTGTGTGTAAAAGCGTCTGTGTGTAAAAGCTTCTGTGTGTAAAAGCCCCTGTGTGTAAAAAGCGTCTGTGTGTAAAAGCGTCTGTGTGTAAAAGCGTCTGTGTGTAAAAGTGTCTGTGTGTAAAAGCGTCTTTGTGTAAAAGCTTCTGTGTGTAAAAGCGTCTGTGTGTGTAAAAGTCTCTGTGTGTAAAAGCGTCTGTGTAAAAGCCTCTGTGTGTAAAAGCGTCTGTGTGTCAAAGCGTCTGTCTGTAACAGTCTCTGCGTGTGAAAGTGTTTGTGTAAAAGCGTCTGTGTGTAAAAGCCTCTGTGTGTAAAAGTCTCTGTGTGTAAAAGCGTCTGTGTGTAAAAGTGTTTGTGTAAAATTGTTTTGTTGTGTACAAGCGTCTGTGTGTAAAGCTTTCTGTGTTGTAAAACCCTTTGTGTTAAACAGCGTCTGTGTGTAAAAGCGCTGTGTGTACAAGCGTCTTGTGTAAAGGTCTGTGTGTAAAAGTGTCCTGTGTGTAAAGGCGTCTGTGTGTAAAAGCTTCTGTGTGTAAAAGCGTCTGTGTGTAAAAAAAGCGTCTGTGTGTCAAAGCGTCTGTGTGTAAAAGCGTCTGTGTGTCAAAGCGTCTGTGTGTCAAAGCGTCTGTCTGTAACAGTCTCTGCGTGTGAAAGTGTTTGTGTGAAAGCGTCTGTGTGTAAAAGCGTCTGTGTGTAAAAGCAAAAGTCTCTGCGGGTAAAAGCCTCTGTGTGTAAAAGCCTCTGTGTGTAAAAGAGCCTGTGTGTAAAAAGCGTCTGTGTGTAAAAGCGTCTGTGTGTAAAAGAGCCTGTGTGTAAAAAGCGTCTGTGTGTAAAAGCGTCTGTGTGTAAAAGCGTCTGTGTGTGAAAGGGTCTGTGTGTAAAAGCGTCTGTGTGTAAAAGCTTCTGTGTGTAAAAGCGCCTGCGTGTAAAAAGCGTCTGTGTGTAAAAGCGTCTGTGTGTAAAAGCGTCTGTGTGTAAAAGAGCCTGTGTGTAAAAAGCGTGTCTCCATACTAACAACAGAAGACTCTGCTCCTCTACGCTCTCGGGCCATCCGTCGTCTAGTTTGGGGTGCACTTACCAGACCCCTGTGCGGGATTTTGCAGAGAACCAGGATTTTGTAGAGGGGTAATTTGTAAGGGACCCGTGTCTGGGATTTTGCAGAGAAGCTTTCAAAAGAACAAGATGCAGCCAACGAACCCGAATGTTCACACGAAAGGTCATGGCACAGAAATCGAAACACATGGAGAGGAAAACCTCAAAGATGTTGCCGCACTTATAAGTGTAAAGTGTAGAGTGCGGAGAACCAAGTGTAAAGTGTGAAGTGCTGAGTGTAAACTGTAGAGTGTGGAGTGTAAAGTGTAGATTGTTGGGTGTCAAGTGTAAAGTGCGAAGTGGCAAATAAGTGTAAAGTGTAGGGTCTGGAGTGCAAAGAGTAGAGCGTAGAGTGTGGGCTGCCAAGTGTAAAGTGTACAGTCTGCAGTGCAAAAAGAGTACAATGTGGGGTGTCAAGTGTAAAGCGTGAAGTGTAGAGTGTGGAGTGTAATGTGTGAAGTGTGGAATGTAAAGTGTAAAGTGTAGAGTGCGGAGTGTTAAGTGTAAAGTGTAGAGTGTAAAGTGTAAAGTGAAGAGTGTGGAGTGTCAAGTGTAGAGTGTGCAGTGTAAAGTGTAGAGAGTAGAGTGTCAAGTGTAGAGTGTAGAGTGTAGAGTGTAGAGTGTAGAGTGTAGAGTAATGTCAGCCCTGTTTCATTGGGAGGGTACTATTTAAGTACTAGATTATGGCTATTGGAGGAGTACCCCCTAATTAATAAACCATGGTTTATTAATCCAGGGTTGACATTATAGAGTTTGGGGTGCCAGTGTAAAGTGTAAAGTGCAAAGTGTCAAGTGTGGAGTGTAAAGCGAGGGTGTAAAGTGTAGAGTGTGAAGTGTAAAGTGTAAAGTCTGGAGTGTAAACTGTAAAGTGCACAGTGTGAAGTGTAAAGTGTAGTGTGCGGAGTGTGGAGTGTAAAGCGTAGGGTGGGGGTGGCAAGTGTAAAGTATGGAATGTAAAGTGTAAAGTGCAGAGTTCGCACATTCAAGTGTAGAATGTGGAATGTGAAGTGTAGAGTGTACCGTGAACATGAAAAGTGTAGAGTGAAGACTGTGGGGTGCCAAGTGTAAAATATAAAGTGCAAAGTGTAGTGTGCGGAGCGTACAGTGTAGAGCGTGGAGTGTAAAGTGTAAAGTGTAGAGTGTGGAGTGTAAACTGTAGAGTATGAAGCGTAGAAGTGCAAAGTCTGGATTGTAAACTGTAAAGTGTAGAGTGTGGAGTGTAAAGTGTAGAGTGCGGAGTGTAAAGTGTAAAATGTGAAGTGTAAAGTGTAGAGTGTGGAGGGAAAAGAGTAGAGTGTAGAGTGCGGGGTGTGAAGTGTAATGTTCAAAGTGTGAAGT